AGGTACTATATACATGTGTAAATTATTACATGAACGAATTACTGAGCTCATTATTTTTCCCCTAAAATCCTCTCTTCTTCCAAACTTCCCTCTTGCTGTTAAGGGAACCACCATCCTCCCAGTCACCTTGACTCACAACCTAGGAGTCATCCTTGATCCCTCTTTCTCTCTCTCATCCCCCATATCCAATAAGTGGTCAACTCTTGTCATTTCTACCTTTATAACGTCTCTTGTATATGTCCCCTTGTCTTTTCTGATGCTCCCACCACCCGCAGGCCCTCCTCACTCACACCTTTACCATAGCAATAACCTGTTGCTGTGTCTGTCTGCCTCCAGTCTCTTCCCCACTCCAATCCATTCTCCACTCAGCCATCAAACTGATCTTACAAGCAAGTCTTACCATATCACCCACTATTTACCTAATGGTTCTCTCTTCCCTCCAGGGTCAAATATAAATTCCTCTTCTTGGTATTCAAAACCTTTTATAACCTGGCCCCTTCCTACCATTTCAGTCTTCTTAAAGAAGACTCCCTTTCATGTGCTCCAATCCAATGACGCTCACTTCCTTGATTTACTTTATACACAATACTCCATGCCTACTCTAAACATTTTCTTTTCTTTTTCTTTTTAAATTTATTTAGTATTTTATTTTCCCCCAATTACACATAAAAACCATTTTTAACATTTGTTTTTAAAACTCTGAGTTCCAATTTCTCTCCCTTCCTTCCTCTCCATCCTCCTCATTGAGAAGGCAAGAAATTTGATATAGGTTGTACATGTGTAGTCATGCAAAACATAATAGTCATGTTGTGAAAGAAAACACAGACCAAAAACACTCTCAAGAAAAATAAAGAAAGCAAAAATGTACGCTTCAATCTGTATTCAAACACCATCAGTTCTTTGTCTGGGGTGGACAGCATTTTTTCATCTTAAGTCTTTCAGAGTTGTCTTGTATCATTATATTGCTGAGAATAGCTAAGTCATTCACAAATAATCACCTTACAATATTGCTGTTACTTTGTACAAAGTACATCTCACTTTGCATCAGCCCATGTAAGTCTTTCCAGGTTTTTCTGAGAGCATACAGCTCATAATTTCTTACAGCGCAATAGTATTCCATCACAATCACATAGCACAATTTGTTCAGCCATTCCCTAGTTGATGGGCATTCTCCCAATTTCCAACTCCCTGCCACCAGAAAAGAGCTGCTATAAATATTTCCATACATATAGGTCCTTTTCCCTTTTGTTTGTTTTTTTTAACCTCATTTTGGATACAGACTAGTAGTGGCACTACTAGGTCAAAGGGTATGCATGGTTTTATAGCCCTTTAGGCATAGTTCCAAATTGCTTTAAATAATGGTTGAATCAGTTCACAACTCCACCAACAGTGCATTAATGTCTCATTTTCTCCACGTCTCCTCCATTATTAGCCTCTCTGATATGTATGAGGTAGTAACTCAAAATTGTTTCAATTTTCATCCCTTCAATCAATAGGGATTAAGAGCACTTTTTATATGTCTATAGATAGCTTTGATTACTTCATCTGAAAATTGTTCATATCTCTAAGTTAACTTCTTTGCCCTCTGGAATATCATATTCCAAGCCCTCCAGTCCTTTAATGTAGAAGCTGCTAAATCTTGTGTTATCCTTACTGTGGCTCCACAATATTTGAATTGTTTCTTTCTGGCTGCTTCCAATATTTTCTCCTTGATCTGGGAGCTTGGGAATTTGGCTATAATATTCCTGGGAGTTTTCATTTTGGGATCTCTTCCAAAAGGTTATCAGTGGATTCTTTCCATTTCTATTTTACCCTCTGGTTCTAGAATATCAGAGCAGTTCTCTTGATAATTTCTTGAAAAATGATGTCTAGGCTCTTTTTTTGATCATGGCTTTCAAAGTAATCCAACAATTTTTTTTGTTGTTGGCTAGGCAATGGGGTTGTGACTTGCTCAGGGTCACACAGCTAGTAAGTGTCAAGTGTCTGAGGCCAGATTTGAACTCAGGTCCTCCTGACTCCAAGGCCAGTGCTCTATCCCCTGCACCACCTACCTGCCTCAATCCAATAATTTTTAAATCATCTCTCCTGTACTTATTTTCCAGGTCAGTAGTTTTTCCAGTGAGATATTTCACTTTGTCTTCTATTTTTTCCATTCTTTTGGTTTTGTTGTTTCTTCATTTCTGATAAAGATATTCACTTTTATTTGCTCAATTTTAATTTTTAAGGGATTATTTTATTCAGTACCACCTTCTGCTCTTTTTCTACCCTCTTTTCCAGTTAGCCAGTTCTACTTTTTAAGGAGTTTTTTAAAAAAAATTTTCCTTTTGGCCAATTCTGCTTTTCAAGGCATTCTTCTCCTCATTGGCTTTTTGTACCTCTTTTACCTTTTGGCCTATTCCATTTTTTAAGGTGTTATTTTCTTCAGTATTTTTTTGTGTTTCCTTTACCAAGCTGTTGACTCTTTTTTCATGATTTTCTTGCATCACTCTCATTTCTCTTTCCTTTCTTCTACCTCTCTTACTTGATTTTCAAATCCTTTTTGAGCTTTTACATGGCCTGAGGCCAATTCATATTTTTCTTGGAGGCTTTGGATGTTGGAGCTTTGACTTTGTTATTTTCTTCTGAGTGTGTGTTTTGATCTTCCTTGTTACCATAGTAACTTTCTATGGTCAGAATTTTTTTCTGTCATTTACTCATTTCCCCGGCCTATTTCTTGACTTTTAATTCTATGTTAAAGTAGGGCTGTGCTTCCAGAGTGAAGAGGGCACTGTCCCAAGCTCAGGGATTTTGTGCAGCTCTTTTCAGAGATACTTCTAGGGACCTGTAAGTTTTCAGCTCTTCTAAGGTGGTATGATCTAAGGAGAGGTGTTTACTCCTCTCTGGCCTGTGCTCTAGTCTGTGAGTGACCACAAGCACTCTTTTCCACACTGAAACTGTGATGAGGGTCTCTGCTGCTGTGACCATAAGTTCTGGTGTGCTCGTCCTCCTCCTTGCCCTGGGACTGCCCCCCAAGACTGTGTATGGGCAAAGCAGCAGAGTCCTGCTTCAGTGCTAGCAAAGAGACCCCTGTGATCTCCTTCTGACTAGTTGTCTGACCACCTTACCGTCTGTGGGCTGAGAGTTCCAGAAGCAGCCACTGCCTCTGCCACTGCCACTGCTGCTTCAGTGGCTCCCAAAGCCTGCTTCTGGTTTGCTGGGGCTGGGACTGCACTGGTGCACTGGCATTATTTAAAAGTGTTTGGAGAGGGGGCAACTAGGTGGAGCAGTGGAGAAGAGCACCGGCCCTGAAGTCAGGACATGAGTTCAAATCTGGACTCAGACCAAACACTTGACACTTACTAGCTGTGTGACCGTGGGCAAGTCACTTAACCCCAATTGCCTAAAAATTTTTTTTAAAGTGTTTGGAGAGGTTTGGGTGAGAGCTCAGAAGAGTTCCTGCCTTTTCTCCTCTCTCTTAGCTCTGCCTTCAACTGTGAGCATTTTCTCTAGCTGTTTCCTCTGCCTGGAATGCACTCCCTTCTCATCTCTGCCTCCCAGCTTCCCTGGCTGCCTTGAAATCTCACCTAAAGTCCCACCTTCTGCAAGATGATTTTCCCAGTCTTTAATCTTAGTGCTTTCCCTCTGAGATTACCTGAGATTTATCCTGTGTATATTTTATTTCCACATAGTGTTTTGCATATTGTCTCCCCCATTAGACTGTAAGCTCCTTGACAGCAGGATTTTTTTTTTTGTCTTTCTTCGTATCCCTAGCACTTATCACAGCAGTAGGCATTTAATAAATACTAGGTGACTAACTGGGGCAGCTAGGTGGCACAGTGGATAGAGTGCCAGGCCTGAAGTCAGTAACACTCATCCTCCTGGGTTCAAATCTTTCCTCAGACACTTACTAGCTGTGTGACCCTAATCAAGTCACCTAACCCTCTTTGCCTCAGTTTCCTCATCTGTTAAATGAACTGAAGGAGGAAATGGCAAGCCACTTCAGCATCTTTACCAAGAAGAGTCATGAAAAGTCAGACATGACTGAAAAACAAGTTGACTGACTGACATTGACTGATTAACCAGGTCCAGCTTTCCTTATCAGCATGCCTTTTCACATTTCAAAAGATAAAAGTCAGATTTCCTCTTCTCCCCTCAGCTCCCTCAATCAGACACACCAAAAAAGCTAACCAGTCTGTGAGTTTCTAGTGGTCAATACAATAGAATGTAAATTCCTTGACAGCAGGGACTTGGTCATCTTTGGGTCTCATGACTGAGCACAACAAACACAGCAGATGCTTAATGAATGCTTGTTGAGTTAAGATCATAGGATCATAGGTCTAGAGCTGAAAGGGACCTCAAAGAACAGCTAGTCCAACCCTATCATTTTACAGATGAGGAAAATGAGGCCCAGAAATGTTCAATGACTTACCCAAGATCATACAGTTAGTATCAGAAGTAGAACTGAATTCTAGCTGTGTGACCCTGGGCAAGTCACTTAACTCCAGTTGCCTCACCAAAAAAAAAAAAGGCAAAAAAAAAGCTGAATTGAATTGTGTTGTTCAATATGTTTTACATATATATGTATATATATGTATATATATATATACATATATATATGCATGTGTGTATATATGTATAGAATATATGTGTGCATATAGGCTACATATGTGTATATACACATATATTCATATACATGCATATATGTGTATATGTAATATATGTACAGAATAAATAGTTGGAGGGATTAAGAGATTTAGACCAGGTAACAAAAAGAACTGCCCAACTTATCTGAAAGTGGGACGCTAGAGAGGTGAGAGAGGTCAAACAAAGGTTGTATTTTTTCCCCAGACAGTCTTTTAAAATGGGAAAAGAGAGAAATAGTCCTGCCTAGATGCAGAAGAAAGACACAGTGGCTTCTGGAAGAGCAGGCTAGCTTTTATAGGTTCTTCAGTTAGTGTCTTCCTTCTGAGAGTAACAATTTCTCTACAACCTCAGTAATTTCTCTTTCCCCCACCCCACAGAAAACCAGGACTGCAGAGGGAAGCCAGAAACCAGCAAAGCTCGCAAGGAGCGGACAGCCTTCACCAAGGAACAGCTGAGGGAACTAGAGGCAGAATTTGCCCATCACAACTACCTGACAAGACTCAGGAGATATGAAATTGCTGTGAACCTGGACCTCACTGAGCGCCAGGTGTGAGAATCTCTTTGGACTTTACTTTTCCCTATTCTTTGCACTCTTCTTCCTCTCCTCTTCTCTTCTCTTCCTTTCTTTTCTTACCCCTCCTCTCCCCTTCCCACCACTCTTCTCTCCTCTCCCCTCATCGCCATTCTTCTCTCCTCATCCCTTCTTTAACTCTTCCCTCCTCATTCCTCCTCTCTCCTCCCCTTCACTTGCCTCCTCTCTCCCCTCCTTTCCCTTTCCCTCCATTTTTCTTTCCTCTTCCTTCTCCTCCCCTTCATTCCATTCTTCTCCTTTTTTTTCTTCTCTTCTTCCTCTCCCCTTCCTTCTCTCTTCTTTCTACTCAATGCTGCTGACTTTTTCTCTTTTCTTTCACCATACCTCCCCTTCCCCTTCCCATATACAGTTTCTTTAAATTCTTTTCCCTGAGCCCTTCTTTGTCTGTTTAATGAGTGTACTACCTTCCTGTCTCCCAGATGATCTTAAGGTTTGTCTTCAGGCAGATCCGTGGCTCTCTAAGGTAGTTAGTTGCTAGGGAAGAAAGTGAAGCATGCAAAAATATTGATGATACACCCTTTTCCATCTCTGCTTTTTGAGCATGTTAGGGTAACCAGTTATTCTATCCCTTAGGGCTAGATTAAACATTGACATAGGGGAGAAGTCACATCAACTCTAAGAGTCACTAAATTTGTCCTCATCATTTCTTCTCTCCAGGTCAAAGTGTGGTTCCAAAATCGAAGGATGAAATGGAAGCGGGTGAAAGGAGGGCAGCCTGTTTCCCCCCAGGAGCAAGATACTGAAGATGTGGACTCTGCAGCCTCCCTAAGTTCAGAGTGAGTCACTCCAGGAAGAGAGAAATGGGACTTGGGCCTGTGATCCCAAACAGCTCTTCCCCCTGCCTGCCCCATTCTGCAGACTATACTCCTGACACCCTGAAGGACATCCCCCAAACTCTTCTCCTCTCTGTGCCTCTTCGAAAGAAGACAAATAACTCAGCTCTTCTGGAACCTTGAAGCTCCAGAGGAAAAAAAAATGTTCTGTTTGATATAACTCACTGACCCTGTCTACTTAAAAAAACTTAATGCCGATCCCAGCTCCCATCCCTACCCAACCACAAAGCCATTGGGTGCTTCTGTCAGGAAGCAGCCATAAAAACTGGAGACTCAAAGCCAAACTGAAAAGGCTTCCTCTCTTCAGCTAAGGTGGCCCTTCTGGGGGGTTTCCTGCATCCCTGACTGATCCTCTACCCAATCCCCAGTCTCTCCTGTTCCCTTTCCCAGCCCCATCATGGAGCCAGTGCTCAGGCTTGTGCTTCATAGGAGAGATGTTCTCTCCATCCGGTGGCACATGTGGTGGACATATTGATGACCTTTCAGAATGAGAACAAACACAAGAAAAAGACACCTATTTCCCAGCCCTCACCCCAACCAGTCTGTGCTTAGAGTTCAAGACTTTGGATCCCCTCCTTTTTTGATACTTTGAAATCTTCCAGAAAACAAATCTACAAGAGGAGGCCATGGGCAACAAGTTCATCATAACTCTTGCTTTTCCCTGTGATCTGATAAAGTTTGCTTTACAGGTGTCCGGCCATGTAACTAACTGACACATTTCCTTGCTGGAATATCACCCTATGGTCAAAGCCTTGGCCCTAGGATAGTTGGGAGGGTTGAGGCAGCATGTTAGGAGAGTGCCAAAATGTCTCATTAGGAATCCTAGAGTTGGGTCACATGAGACTTGGTACAACCAAAAAGGCCTATCACATCTAGTTTAACTATCACTAATTCTGTTGAAGAAGAAAAGAGAGAAGGGAGAGAGAACCCCACAACAACCAGGCTGATGGTATCAGTGGGCTTCCTCAGTGTAACACTGAGCCTGAAGCCATGTGGTACAATGAAAACAAAAACAAACACACTGGTTTTAGTAACAGAGGACCGAGGTTCAAGTCGTACCTCTAACACTTATCATTTGTACCTAGTCAATTCACTTCTATCCATGGTCCTCAGTTTCTTCATCTATAAAATCAGGGGATTGAACTAGGTAGTCTCTGACCCTTTGAAGTACAGATCTATGATGTAGAGATTTAGCCTTAATTCATAACAAACATCTGAAAATGTCAATGGCCTGGGAGTTGGGATTTAAGTATTGTAAATGAGGACCCCAATATAAGGAAAGTCAATAGTAGGGTTGGGTGGCCTATGAAAAAGGAAAATTGTCAGGGTTCCATGTCATAATAGAGCTCCAACACTAAACATTCCAAATGAAATGTCCCCCTTTTGTGCTGACAGAGCCTTCTCCACTCTCTTTAATTAAATACAACAAACTTTTATTTAGTACCTACTGTGTACAAGGCACTATGCTAGGCACTGTGTTCCTATACATTGTCTATAATAGGGGCATAGTTCTCACAATTTGTACCTCCTTCTCAGTGGTGGCAAAATAATGCTGATGGACAGGGATGTGCCTAGGGGAGCGCTAGTTTAAAGACCATCTACTCCTGTTGCTCGATGGTGAAGTGGATAGTGTGCTAGGCCTAGAATCAGCAAGACTCATCTTCCTGAG